TGTGAAGCCCTTAAATGAATAACCTAAAATACGTTGCTGTTAAGTTTTCCTGCAAGATAATGATTCAACATATTAAATCAATTCCACAATCAACCTTCTTTCATTCCTAATGCTTAAAAAATTTGAGCTGAAGAGACAATTTACTATTATTTAAGCTTGGGGGACACTGTAGCCGAGGACAAATTGTTAACTTACAAAGGCGTATCTTACAGTCTAGCTGGGAGGTAATGTTCCTGCAGTTTCTCTGCTTGATTTTTTTAAAAACCAAGTAATTTAACTTCTATACAGGTGCAGCAGCTGTGGTCCAAACCCCGCTGAACGTCTTCGCAGCAGAGGGTGAAGATGCTCCTCTCAGCTGTCAGCTCCTGGAAACTAAAGAGGTCCAGCAGGTCACCTGGCAGAAGGTCTTTGGGAGCAAAGAGAGGAATATCTGCTCCTACAGCGAGTATTTTGGTCAAACAGTGAATCCTGACTTTAAAGATAAAGTCCAGTTTACAGAAGCTGGACTGAAGAATTCCTCCATAGTTATCAGGAAGGTTACAGAGGAGGATGAAGGATGTTATCTCTGCTTGTTCAACATCTACCCTGATGGAGCTCTGAGAGGGACAACTTGTCTAAATGTCTATAGTAAGAACCAGACTGTATTCCAGGGTTAACTTCTATAACTAGATGTTGATCATGATGTTTGTTCTTCTCTCAGAGCTGCATGAACCCGTCCTTGATGTCATCAGATCAAAGTCTCCTGCAGAGTCAGTTGTGTCCTGTTCAGCCACAGGTCGACCTGCTCCCACTGTAACACTGACTGTTCTACAGCAGAACCTCAGCTTCTCCCACTACAACAGCAGCAGTGTGACCCACAGCAACGGTACAGTCACCGTCACCACCACAGCTCTGCTGTCAGCTTCCAGCAGCACACAGGTTGGATGTTCAGTGTCAGTGCTCTCTGCTGCTCCCAGAGAGAAGCTGATCACCGTTCCTGGAGTTAAAGGAACATCGGATGATGGTCAAAGTGCATCATCTTATAGTGAGTATTCATGTTCATATATTCTTTAAACCTTCACAGCTTAGCGGAGGAAGATTTTAACAGGACATCATATTCACAAAAATCCCTTGAAACACAGAGGTAGCAGCATAATGCTTTAGGAGTGACTTTAATTCAGATGGGACAAGGAAGCTGTTTATTGTAAGCTAAATGGACCTAGAAAAGAAAGGTTGGAAGCTTAATAAGACGTTAGATTGAGAGGCTCATGTTCCAACAGTTTAACAAATTTAAAGCTGCAACCAGAGCTGCAAGACCCATTCAGTTAAATTAGGATCATTTTTATTTTATTTTTATTTTATGTTATTGAGAGTAACTTTTTAAACCTTCCCAGCTTAGCTGATGAACATTTTGAAAGGACATCTGAGTTGTTAGCAAAAGGAAATGTGATTGAAAAGTGCTTTGATTTAAGAAAATCCATGGTAAGTTCTATTTAGTTTCTCAAATCCTAAGAAGATGAGGCCGGGGGAATTTGGGGGGGGGGTCAGTTGTGTTCTGTTCAGCCACAGGTTGACCTGCTCCCAATGTAACACTGACTGTTCTACAGCAGAACCTCAGCTTCCTGTTTTGGGGGGAATATGGTTTAGCTCGTTTCTGCGCAGACTTACCAAGTGTTGTTTCTCTTCAGGTAATCAGTCACAGATTATCCTCATCATCGCAGTTCTACTTATTATCTGCATTGCTGGTGTAATAGTTTTGATCGTTCACAAAAGGTGAGACATTTCACTTCCAATAAGCAGACATTTTATTTATAGTTATATAATGGTTCACATGGATGATTGCCAACACTTCTGTTTTCTTTTCTTTTTTTAGGAGTTCAACGAGAAGAAGCAACAATGATACTATAGTTTGATCCGTTTTAAGGAGCAGAGCATTCCAGCATTACATCAGCCTCTGGGACTGTTGCACCAGTGATGTGAATAAGCTAAGAGCAGCTGCTTTCCTTCCAGAGTCACCGGAGTTTGGACAATACACTGAATTTAACCTGCATTAGATCACATTTCTCTCAAACTGCGTCACTTTGCACTTTAACTCGGAGCTTGTCTACTTGTTTTGATGAATGTAAAAATGACAGCGTGAATATGATACTATGACAGAGGCTGTGAGGGAGGAATAATGCATCAGTCAGGATTTACATTAAGAAGTTCACACTTTAATGCAAACTGAGCCTTTATTGCCATCTAGTGTCCTATTTTATTTCTGCATAAAACTCCTACAAAATGTTTTACCTCAGTTCAGTAGAACAGTTTTGTTCTTAAATGTTTTTTTTTTTTTCAAGATGGTTGTAGGTTTTTCTATCCTCTTGCATTTTGTACATGGTTTATAGTGGTATAAATGTTATTTATTGTGTGCAAAAGGAATGAAAAACTATTAGAACTGTACTTATAAAAGATAGTGTTGTCCCTGATTAGTCATATTTATGTTGATGTCATTTTATTATTTATTCTTTAAAAAATATTTATTGACAATTGGTTTAAATAAAATATGTCAAGTTTTGGAAATGATCTAATTTGTGATTAGAGGTTTGTTTTTCTCTTTGTAAAATTAAAGTCCTTAAATGTCATTGTTTCATTTTGACTCACTTCTGACGCAAATGTACAGTTTGCTCAAAGACATCCCTTTTTTTTTTGCAAGTGCATGGCTATAGGATTTAGACCCTTTGTAGGTGTTGATCAGTACAATAAATATAGATTTATTCTTAAAAAATGATCACTATGATTAATATTTGATTTCTATTTCGTAAAGTTCCTCTCTTTAAATCATGGCCACTTGAAAAACCTTCACTTAAGATACCAAAGCAGATACCAAAAAAAAAAAAAAAAAACTCAATAGATTTATCACATAAACTATTTGAAAACATAAAAACACCCTATTCTTATCCCTCTATTATCAAAAGATATTGGACTATTTACAAGCATTAAACTTTTGATTCAACAGTTTTATTGCAGTTTCACCTGCATCAAACATGGATCTAAATATAAAAACATTAGATTTGACATTTAAAAAATCATATCGGTTATTGTTTGGTTTTGGTCTGCAGAGAAGATGATTGGCTTCAATCTTCCGTCTCTCCAGGATCTGTACGCCTCCAGGACTCTGAGGCGTGCAGGGAAGATTGTGGCTGATCCCTTGCACCCAAACCCCAAACTATTTCACTCACTTCCCTCTGGCAGGAGGCTGCGGTCCATCAGGACCAAAACCTCACGCCACAAGAACAGTTTCTTCCCATCCGCTACCAGCCTGATCGACAAGGCCCAGAGCCCCCATGACACTGCCTCACTCCCTCCCCGTTTTAGGACCTAGAAGCTACACTAACATCACATCTCCAGACCTCCTGCGTTACATTAAGGCACAGCCTAATGTGTATATGATAAATAGTTACATACAATTTATTGTATATAGTATAAGGTATGTTTCTTATCATATAGAACTAGAAATCCTGTATTCTGTATATATATATATATATATATATATATATATATATATATATATATATATATATATATATATATATATATATATATATATATCTTTTGTCTGCACCATCAACACCAAGCCAAATTCCTTGTACGTGCAAACCTACTAGGCAATAAACTTGATTCTGTTTCTGGTTGACATTTACATTATGACCATATAGCCATTAGATGGCGCATTTGTATTCCTTGCAGCCGATATTGAAAACTGAAAGTAAAAGTATTACTGTTGCCAGTTTGTACCAGTGCGTCTGAAAAAGGGGATCAACTGAAATTATAGTACTAAAATACATAGAAAGCCCTGCAAAAAAATAAACTTGTACTGTTGAGTTCCTATGAGTTTCTTTTGATTATCATTATCATTTTAATGAATGGAGATGAAGTGTGATTCAATTTTGCTTGTTGCTTGTTATTGATAATGCAGGCTATTGGTTTAGTGCAAATTTGATTTCCTTGACTCAATATATTTGGTGGCAAATTTGAAGCGATGGCGTGCAGTGAAGTTTCCTGTTTCTTTATTCTGCACTTTCTTCACATAGGTGAGAGAGACTTTGTCTGTTTAAAATTCGCATAAGGTTGTTGAAGCATATTGTGAACGTATTTATTTTGTCTAATTACTTCAGTATTGTAACTCTGCACTTGAAATGAGAAAAAAGTGTTAAAAAAGTAAACAGACACAAATGTGGTGAGAGAATTAGTAAGAGAATTAGAAGTAATTTCCCTCTAAGATTATTAAAGTATGTCTGGTTCTGATTCTGAACTTATTAGAGTGCTTTGATTTCCTGATAATGTAAGTACAAATGTGAAGCCCTTAAATGAATAACCTAAAATACGTTGCTGTTAAGTTTTCCTGCAAGATAATGATTCAACATATTAAATCAATTCCACAATCAACCTTCTTTCATTCCTAATGCTTAAAAAATTTGAGCTGAAGAGACAATTTACTATTATTTAAGCTTGGGGGACACTGTAGCCGAGGACAAATTGTTAACTTACAAAGGCGTATCTTACAGTCTAGCTGGGAGGTAATGTTCCTGCAGTTTCTCTGCTTGATTTTTTTAAAAACCAAGTAATTTAACTTCTATACAGGTGTAGCAGCTGTGGTCCAAACCAAGCTGAACGTCTTAGCAGCAGTGGGGGAAGATGCTCCTCTCAGCTGTCAGCTCCTGGAAACTAAAGATGTCCAGCAGGTCACCTGGCAGAAGGTCTTTGGAAGGAAAGAGAGGAATATCTGCTCCTACAGCGAGTATTTTGGTCAAACAGTGAATCCTGACTTTAAAGATAAAGTCCAGTTTACAGGAGCTGGACTGAAGAATTCCTCCATAGTTATCAGGAAGGTTACAGAGCAGGATGAAGGATGTTATCTCTGCTTGTTCAACATCTACCCTGATGGAGCTCTGAGAGGGACAACTTGTCTAAATGTCTATAGTAAGAACCAGACTGTATTCCAGAGTTAACTTCTATAACTAGATGTTGATCATGATGTTTATTCTCCTCCCAGAGCTGAATGAACCCATCCTTGATGTCAGCAGATCAAAGTCTCCTGCAGAGTCAGTTGTGTCCTGTTCAGCCACAGGTCGACCTGCTCCCACTGTAACACTGACTGTTCTACAGCAGAACCTCAGCTTCTCCCACTACAACAGCAGCAGTGTGACCCACAGCAACGGTACAGTCACCGTCACCACCACAGCTCTGCTGTCAGCTTCCAGCAGCACACAGGTTGGATGTTCAGTGTCAGTGCTCTCTGCTGCTCCCAGAGAGAAGCTGATCACCGTTCCTGGAGTTAAAGGAACATCTGATGATGGTCAAAGTGCATCATCTTATAGTGAGTATTCATGTTCATGTTCTCACCTTATAATAATAAAACTATGTTTTATGCTATTCAGAGTGGCTTAAACCTTCCCAGCTTAGCTGAGGAAGATTTTAACAGGGCATCACATTCACAAAATATCCCTTAAAGCACGGAGGTAGCAGCATCATGCTGTAGGAATGATTTCATTTCAAATGGGACAAGAAAGCTGTTAATTGTAAGCTGAATTGGCCTAGAAAAAAATGTTAGAGGCTTAATAAGACGTTAGATTGAGAGGCTGATGTTCCAACAGGTCAACAACTCTAAAGTTGCAGCCAGAGCTGCAAGACCCATTCAGTTCAATTAGGATCATTTCTATTAAAGAGCACCAGTTACAATCACAAATTATAGTTAAACAATTTTGCAAAGTAAATCAAAATGAATAACCCAATCTGACATTATTTAAGGTTGTCTGAATTATTTTTCTTTTAATGTTTGAATAAATCATAAATATAAAATGAACAATCGATTTTTTTTCAAAACAACTATTTTGTTTAGTATCGACAGCATGTCAAATTAGTGTTGTATCTGGATACACTAAGTAAAGATACTGGTATTTTTTAAAACCCCAGAAATGAGTCTTACCTTAGATTGACATCCATGTTTTAGAATGGCCTCATCAAAGTCCAGACTCTAATCCCTCTGACTTTTACCTACTTTGCAAAAAAAGAAGAAGTAGCCAAGATGTGTCTGCAAATCTGTTAGGAGATAAAATCTGAAGTACCTTCAGCTGAAACTATTAATCTGTTCTCATGTTGTTCCTTTTTTGTTTTTCTTTAAGGTAAAACTCTAATCATCATCATCATACCTCTAATAGTTGTGTCGGCCTGCATCTTTATTATTTCGCTCACTATACTGTTTGTCAAACAGCAAAAGAAAAACAGGTAATAAACCTCATTTTCTACACCACTTTTGTATTATGATATAAAACAGTTAAACTCTTAGACATTCAGGAGCATTAAAACATTTCCCGATGCATTTATGTACGGTAACTCTTTAAAGCTCATAAAGCAAAACAACATTTTTTTCTTTTATTCAGGGACCCTGAATGGAACAAAACACCAGTTAAATTATTACAAGACACAAATGGGTAAGAAATCATTTCAAATACCTTTTTTTTATGCATTTTAACAATTTGGTTAAAACGTGTCATTCTCTGATGCAAACATCTACAATAAGGAGGGAGAATCAGGTCCGACTGCGATCGTCTGGAAAAGGAAGCAAAGGAAAACGTCCACCTTCAGAGGCTGAAGCACATGTTAAGGACAATGTGGTTACTACTCTGACATTTTAACATGACAACATTGAGCTGTTCTGTGTTAGATTGTCTGCTTAAGTTGGCTGAAACCTTAAACTGAAACTGAAATGTTCACAATCCTGATTAATAGATAAACAATTTAGATCTTTTATATGGATAATATTTCAGTTAGATTTATACTTGCTGCATCTTTGAATCCAGCAAGAGTATTTTTTTATTCCTAATATTTTAAAGAATGAACATTTAATGTAAATATTTTAGAGAAAGAAAACTTCAAACAGGATGAAACAAAGAGGATGTCCTCTCAATGACCATGGAGCATACCAAATAATTAATCTATGATAAGTATGAACTCAAACATGATTATTTCAACCAAAATTATTTTATTTAGTGTCATTATTGTTGCAAGAATTAAAGCTGAATTAAATAAGATAACAATCCTGATAATAATTAAAGTTAGATCTTTTATATAGGCAAACGTTTCCGTTAGATTTACATATCTGTACATCCAGCTATAGTTTTTTTTCTAAGCATTTTAATAAATGACCATTTATTGTTTACACTTTAAGGAAAGAAAACTGTTTTTATTTTATTAAATTATTTTATTTTGTTTCATTACTTGTCTTTAATGTGTACCATTCCTTGTTGCAGCTAAAAGTTTCACGATTTTTTCAGCGTTAACAAGTAGCTCATCTGTGCCTATATTTTATGGTTTAAAAATATGTAAAAGCTACATTTTTTATTTTAACATCTAAAACCAGCATATTTATATACCATCAAAGAAGAGGGGCTCAGCATATTCTTTAAGGAAGTTTATTTACAGTTTGATAAAAAAAAACACCAATAGATTGCGCATTTGTAACTCATTTTAGTGAGTTGGCACAATTGTGTGGGAGGAAAAAAAGGATAATTAGGAATACTGTGATTAAACTAGACAGAAAATTTGGCAAAACAACATAAATTGTAGAATCAAGTTGTCACCTTAGATCTATGAATAGAGGTGTTTATTACATTTTTCTGTCTGGATAAACATATTTAATGCATATGAGTTGCATGTCTAACCCTTTTTACTGTTATGTAATATTCTCAGCTTTTTGTTAATCGAAGAAGTTAAATGCTTTATTTGCAAAAGTAAGTAATCAGATTACATTGATGACTGCTGATAAAATCACAGATCAAATTCTCTTTTTATTATTTATGTAATAAACTTTTTGTAATTAAACTGAGATTTGAAAATTGCAATGGGTTTTATGTCTTTTTCAACATATTATGTGAATGCTTTGTACTCTTCTGAAAATTATGAAATTGTTAGGGAGATGAAACATGCCGTCTGGAAATGGCAGACCTGGAGCAGTTTGCTCATCAGTAGGGGGACAAAATACCTGCTGAGAGGAGCTACAGTACAGGTTTGATTACGGCTATTGACAAAAAAGGTTGTATAACAAGATATTAAGTTAAGTTTCTTTTTAATCATTCTGTTGATGCATTGTTGAAGAGCAATATCTGACTTTCATTTGTTGTGTTTCATAGAATTTTTTATTCGTTATTACTTTTGTCAGATTCAAGTTATTCCTGTGACCATTCTGAGTTTTTCCTCATCATGTTAAGACTGGACTCCCTTGATGAGATGACTGCAGTCTTGTGTGCTCTTCTTGGTTGGAAAGAAAAACCTGCAGCCACACGGGCCTTTCTGGAACCAGTTTGAGACCCCTGAAAATCCAGTTTGGCAGACAGGAAGTCAATTAGATAATTAGTAATCAGGAGGTCTAGCTATCGATAGGAAGCATCCTGCTTCCTTCTCTTAAATCCTTCCTCACTGTCAGCACTATTCAGACACCACTTATTGTAGGCCAGATGGATAATCTGCAGCATTTAGGTTTAGTTCTACATCATATTCAATTGGGACTGCTCTGATTGTTCTGTTTAGAGAAATTAGGAACATTCTACTTAACTTGTAAAAAGAAACACCCTAATACCAAAGTTTGATTTTAGACAATCATGGTAACATTGCATATTTTTTAATTTTCATATGATTGCCATGAAACCATGTAGATACCACAAGAAACCACAATAACGTTGGCTTCTATGATTTTGCTGTTCCTTCATTCAAAGATGAAGCATTCTTTTCTGTTCCTTTTGAGTTTATATTATGTTTGCATAAGAACCTAAAACAACCTTTACTTAAAGTTATATATAAATGTTAAAACCAGCCATCCTGGCTCTTGCAGTTGTTCCTCCCTACTCTTTTGCATTTCCAAGAAAATATTCAGTTTAAATCTGCTTCTGTCTCTGTGGTTGTGCCTACCTAAGAGTTCACAAGCTTGCATTATGTAATTAACCATTTTAATACAGTAAGTCACCAGTATAAATGCATCTTTCATGGAAATACCTCAGAGGTTTTTATTTGAACAGTTATCTAAAAATGGAATGGAGCACAGAGAAAGGAGAGCATTGCTCAGAGAAGAGGGCAAGAGGCCCTTAGTTACTCTGAAGGAGTTGCAGATCGGAACTCAACTGCCTGGCAGTGTGTTTCCTGAACGGGGCCGCCTGTGGAGCTGGTTTACAATTGCCTTTTGTATCTCTGCTTCATTTTCTATGTCTGCTTCTGTCTCCTTGAACCCCACTCAGCCTTGGCAGATGGCCGCTCACACTGAGCCTGGTTCTGCTGGAGGTTTCTTCCTGTTAAAAGGGAGTTTTTCCTCTCCACTTTCGCTACAAGCATGCTATAGTGTTAGGGAATGAGTCGATGAAATCAGCTGGTTTTCCTTAGATAGATTCATTCAAATTGTCCAGATAGATAAGTTGCATTCAGCCTATATAATGTGCCTGATACTTCCATAGTCCAGCTTTAAAGAATCTTCCTTCATTTTCAGCAGTCGGTGTCTTTAACCCTCAGCTCCGCCTTAATCAGTCTCTGTTCTCTGTTCACTCAGTGGTAATGAAAATGATAATCGTTGTCAGTGCGCCGAAATAGCAAGAGAAGAAAAAATTGTGATTGTATGTGAACAGACAAAACCTGTACACTTAGAGGACTGAACATTCTATTCTATTCTATTCTATTCTATTCTATTCTATTCTATTCTATTCTATTCTATTCTAGAACTACTGATGTGTAATTCTTTTTGCCTGATGACACCAAGGTGGTTTTGTTTCGCTATTACTTTGATGTACTATTTCAAAAATATACTAAAAATAAGACTATAAATAATTGTTTCAAAAAATGTTATTTTTAAAATCAAGTTGTACTATCATGCATATCATATCTACCCTGAACAACAACAAAAAAAGCTTGCCTTACTTTTTAAACTACGAGTGAAAAAAAGTCTGCTCTTTCTTGTTTACAGAGTTTTAAATATTGCATTTCTTTCACACCTAATCCCAATAACACACACTGAAGCTTTTTGTTGTAACACGAAACAACTTGGGGGTAGAAATATTCTTTTAACTAATTTTCAATAAATATTTGTAATGTTTGTTTAATTATTTATTTTATTATTTGATTTCAGCTCAAAATTCAGGGATTTATTCATATAGATACATCAAAACTTTTAGGATTTAAAAAAAATGCTAAGGAGTCAAGTTATTGCAACATCAATAATGCAATCATTAATTATGTGCTCATATATTACATTTACAATATATAACATGCAATTTTTAATATTTTGGCCACAACCATAAAATTACTAAAAGTCAGACAACATAAAGCTTGGAAATATGTTCAATGCTTCTATTCATTCTGAGGATGTTTAAAGTAAACAGATAGATTTAGTTTAACATCCATAACGCTAGTTTTTTGTATTTTTGTTATTCCCCAACTGGCCTTGATGCAGTCCTTAGTGTCTGTACTTTAAAACTAATCAACATTAACAAAAACATTTTATGTTTGCTGTATTTACTGTATCTTTTTTGGGTTGAATTAAAAATCCTCTGGAGTTTCACAATAAAAGCAGAGAAACCATCATCTCACAGATACCAGCACAAAGTAATTGCAATTTAAAGAAAATCTGTTTGAAACAATAAAACAAGCCCAAGCAAGTTTATTTCAACAGACCCTGTCACATAGGATCAATAAAATAAATTAATATACTTAGATATTATTTTATATTTTTATTTTACATAGCCAGTGTTAAAGGTATGTCTAGTGTTTTTATTCATTCATTTTCTAAGATACTTTTACCTAATTTGTGTGCATTCAACTTAAATGCTTGTGTGGCTATATAAGTGAACTTAAATTTCTCTAATGATGTCAATTTGATGCAGGACTTAATTAATTAAATTAATTGCATTTTTTTGTCAGTAACCTCGTTACATGCTACAGGAACTTTAGCCTCTTCTGCATTGACTGTTCTAATCAGTGCTTCTGGACCATCTATAAAACAATAGATAACTCTTGTTCATTTACATAATCTTGAGGCTGCACCACGTGTTGCCTTTCTCTCCGCCTTTTTTCAGTTTTCACTTCAGAATTGCACTACAATGCCACATGGAAGGAATCTATGGCTAATTCTATTTCTTTTTACCTTTGGAGGAGCATTTCAGAAAGGTGAGAATAAGCACTTCCAATGCTTTCGTATACATTGGGGGGGATTTTTAAAAATAAATTATTTAATGCATTGCTGACCAAGTGCTATGGAGTCAAACTTTCACTTTATTCAGTCTCTGAAGTCCAGTCTTTTCCTCAACTTTAGTTAAATAAGGAATTGAATCTAAAACCGTAATTATCAACAAATGGAATAAGGGTCGGAAATACTTTGACGTTGAAAGTTTGGTATTTCTTACGGAACCTTTCTTAGCTTAGTAAAAACGTTGTGTTCAGATCGATGTAAGCAGGTCCAGACCTGCCTTCTTGTTTTACTAGTTTAAAGGGGTGGAGCTCACCTTTAAAGATAACTGGAGTACATTTTAGATATAAATCTCCTTGTTGTTTTAGTATCAAATATCAAATATTGTTATAATTTTTGTCTCTCAGATTGTCAAAAAAAATCTACAATTAATATCCATGTTTACTCCTTTCTTAATTTGTCTTTTCTGATTTCTAATTTTTTTAATGCTCTTTATGGTAATTATAGTTTTTATTCATGAAAATGCCAGGATTAAACCTCTCATGAAATTAGATTATAATTTTTTTATTGAGCTGCACT